CTCTCTCTCTCTCTCTCTCTCTCTCTCTCTCTCTGTGTGTGTGTGTGTGTGTGTGTGAGAGAGAGAGAGAGAGACAGAGCCAAATCTCATAATTTGACAAAAAGCTGAGCTACTTCACTTTGCACTCTGCTATTACATTCGCCAGACAAAAGCATCCTTTTCCCAGAACTATTATTTTAGATGTGCTCCCATGCAAATTATTTTTAAGATGAATGGAAGTAATAATTACCATTCTATTGTGCAAACAGTTTAATTTTGGGACTGAAGATGTCCAGGCAAGCCTATAGGGTACAGGGAGCCCCAGTAGCTCACATGGAACCATGGCTGAGTCTGTACCACAGTGGCCTGGGTTCAATTCCTCAGCCCTTTGCTCACATTGTCATCCCCTCTCTCTCCACCTTCCTCACACTGTTCTTCTTCTCCATCAAATAAAGTCAATAAAAATCCCCCAAAATAATCTTTTAAAAAGTGTGCAGGCTACCTGCTCATCACCAACAGGACCTGTAATAAATCCGTCAATTGAGTCAAAGGTGTAGTTAAAGGAGCACAGTACTCAGACCCTGAAAAGAAATTTAAAAAAAACTCAATTACTCTTGTTACAATTAAAAGCAAAATGTACTTGAGTATAGCAAAAGTACCTATTATGCTTTTATACACTTATTGCAAGGCTGGATTACCAACCGGGCAAAAGGAAATCTGCCATGGGGCCGTAGACCCCAAAGTGACTCCAAGGCCCCAGGTTCCCCTTTCTGTTAGCTGGTTGTATATGCAATTTGATGAATTGCAAATTTGTCTTGGATTTTGTGCTACTAGGGTGGGTCCTGCATTATTGCCATATCTTTGTGTTAAAGTCAAATTGTAAAACTTAACTTTAAGTTATACTATGCTCATATGGTGCATATCCCTAAATAAAGATGCCTTTATTACATGTTTTGAATATAAAATCTTGAACCTGCTAAGCAACTAGTAACTCTAGCTGTCAGACCAATAGTAGAAAAGAAAAAAAACTTGTAGAACATTAGGCTCTGAAAAGTAGTGAAGTACAGGTATTAGGTAGCATGAAATGTGATGTAAAAGTATCTAAAAATTGTACTTAAGTACAGTACGTGAGTAAAGGTGCTTTGCTATGTTCCACCACCACTGTTGAAAACTATTACACACATCAACATCAACAAAAAATTTACTTTAGCTGTGCCATTTTAATGTAAAATAAAGAGCGTGCCTAGAATTAAAGGTTCAATCTGTGGTTTTAATATAAGTTTTGCACATTAGATACTGTAGACCAAAAGATGCATCTTGTGTCCAAGGCATCCAAGTCATTGTTGCTCAGTGGTCAAAGATAATGTGTATGTGTAACTGCCCCTAAGGCTAAATTAGGGATGCTAATAAAAACATGCCATACTGCCCTCTAGAGATTATTGAAAGTGCTGCAAGTGACCTTTGATGCCTTCAACTGCAACTAACAGAGCTGCTTCTACATATGGAGATAGAAAGCTTGCATATCCCAGTTCCCTCAACACACTGAACTCACTGACTTTCAGCCTCTGACAAAATGACAAAACACATGATTTCTGCCATGTTGAATCTAACTCATATTGGTGTGCATGCATCACTGCAATTCGAGCCTCGATCCAAATCACAGAAATTTATTTGGATGCAAAAGCTGTATTATGCAAGGAAAAGCAACATCAGAGGATGCATATTTACAAGAAACAATGCACGTTAGTAATCACACATTGGCATGGACAGTGTCAACAGAAATTTACTGTACATTAAAATTGGATGTACTGTTGAAAAGCAAGAAAAGGGGGATGGTAAATGGGAATATGACTGTGCTTCCACAATAGGAAGATGTTTAAGTTAGTGATGACATGTACATCATCAGCCAAACTAGAACCAAAATACAGTGACACAGCTTCAATAGTGTCATTAAAACATGAAAGCACTTAAGTCACTGAGTAGTGTGTTTTGGAACATTGGACATGCTTTATTTCAGAACTTTTCACAATTTATTTAAACATCTCACATATACAAAATAGGTACAATAGACTTTGTGGTGTCATTTTTGAGAGAGAGAGAGGCCGCCTAAAAACCATTCAGAATTGGATGAAATATGTGCTGTCAGTATGAACACTCTGTGTGGGGATTGAAGAGTAAAAAAAGCCTGAACAAAAAACCAAAACAAAAAAAAACCTTCTAGACAAAAACAAAAAAAGAACAAAACGAAATGAAACAAAACAAAAAACCAGACATCAGGTTTAGGAACATTCCACCTGCTTAAAGTGGGGTAGCATCAGGGGACGAATGCAAGACTCCTCAAAGGTCAATACAAAGTAATACAGTAAGAAAGTGGTTTGCTCCACAGCTGCATATTAGCACCATAGATCTCCGCTTCAAGTAACTGAGCACCTTCCGATACAGGACAAAGCTTGAAGCATTAGAAGTCTTAACATCTCTGTTGTGGACCCAGGTTTTGTCAATAGTATTTTCTTTAGGTACAGGCATGAGGTAGTTTAAACCTTTTTTTCATGGAAATTGTGGTTTTAAACCTCCTCTTTGGAAGATATACAAAGACCACAAAGTGATGCATACTTTCAGCGTTTTTATTACACTTCTTTTTATTTTTTACAAAAGGATGACATGATGTCCCACAACAAGGTGTTTTCCCGCGTCCCTTTGGGTTGCTGTATTAATTTGCATTGCACAAACGCTCCGTTCAGTCCGTTCAGTCCTCTCAGATAGTTGCCCATCTTAAGCAAGTGGATGCGCAGAGAGAAATCAGCATTCAGTATAAAAAAACAACACAGAAAGAAGGGCAGAGATTTTGTTTTTTCGTTCTTTCTCTCTTTTTTGGTGTTAATTTATCATGAGTCTATTTATTTGAAACAGACTGGGCCAATGTCCAAACCAAACTCCTGTTCAGCTCCACCAATGTCCAAAGGTGCAATGTCGAGGATGGGCAGGCGAGATGGTTTATTTGTTCTGTACTCAATCACTGTCTTGCTCCACTCACCAGTGTGTCTCTGCAGGTGTAAGGACAGAAAAGGAGAATAGTTAGAAAAGTGGCAAAACGATACAAAAATGCATTCATTTAGCAGTTTATAAACAAGCAATGAAGATAACAACCAAAGAAAACAACTGAAGAAGCTACTCACAGTGCAGCCATCCTCCAGCACGGAGAAAGTGAAGCGGCTGTTGCCCTCGGCTCTCAGCTCCACATCGTTGGAGCCCTGGAGCACCACAGCCTTCTTCAGGTTGCCGCTCTCACCATCCATGTAGGCAACGCTGTTCTTGCAGTGGTAGGTGATGTTCTGGCTAGCCTGGTTAGACAGCAGGCGCATGAAGGCCAGCTGGGTGGCCATGCTCTGGGGGCTGAGGGTCTCATCGTTGTAGGTAAACTGCATGCAGAAAAGACGGACAGTCGATATTTAAAATATAGAAAAAATAACTTTTGTCATTTCCTGGTCTTGTGTACTGTACAGTGAAGTAAAATATGTCTCCTCTGTGTAAATGCTCACCTCAGTACCACCGTTGATGGTCTCTCCGAACCAGACGTGCTTCTTGCTCTCGGTGCTTCTGTACCAGTTCTTCTGGGCGATGCTCTCAGGGTGGGCGTAGATGCAGGTCTCGCGGGTGGAGAAGTCGCAGAAGACCTTGATGGCATCATTGATGCAGCCCTGGTTGGGGTCAATCCAGTAGAATCCTACATGGCAAGAAAAAAAGAGTCAAACTGATGGACAGAGAGTGTTTTACTCTTACTGCATATACATAGACATCTAAACTGCACTAAATGTAGTGATGTATCTTTTCAATTTATCAGTAAAAGCTGAGCTTACCACTGGTCCATTCGGGGTGGCTGAGCCTGATGTCACGGCAGGTGCGGGCAGGGTTCTTCCTGGATCCCTCAGGGGTGAGCAGGTTCTCAATCTGAGTGTTGAGGGACTTGATGGTGGCATCGACCTCGTAGTCCTTGGCTCTCAGAGCAGGCTGATCGGCTCTGTACTCATCGTATCCAGAGACATCATATCCACCACCAGCGGGGCCAGGAGGTCCGGGCAGACCAGGAGCTCCAGGTGGACCCTTATATGAGTAAATGAGTGGATTGATACAAATTCACAGTTGCAGTTGGATCCTTTGCAGAGGATCCTAATGGAACTTAACTGTCAACAAATTCTGTATTGGAGCAAATAAAGACAAAATAGATGTGCTTACAGCAGGTCCAACATATCCAGGGGGTCCGCGGGCACCGGGAGAACCGATGGTACCATGGCTACCAGCTCTGCCGTCTTTACCAGCGGGTCCGTGGGGTCCAGCAGGTCCCTGAAGAAAAGATTAGCACATGACACAGTCACATTTGTCTTTTGTTTTGGAAATCCTACATCACATAACAAAATCCAATGTCACCTGTCACTTTTAGAAATGTTACATGAGCGCTGAATGTTGTTCGTCATGTTATAATGAACAATCGTTGATACTCTCTCCGCCGTGGTTTTTATATTTCTGCCAATTACTTGCTTATGTGAAAGATGGATTCAAAACATGGTGCCTCTCTGAATATAGATGGAACAAGTAAACTACTGGTGTTTTGTGGGTTTTTTAGATTCCACTCACTCTGGGTCCAGCGGGTCCATTAGCTCCAGCAGCTCCAGTGTCACCGGAGGGTCCCTGAGGGGAGGAAAAGTGAATCATTTAGTGAAACTGTAGTCATTAATAAGACCTTCTATACATACAGTGTTTACATCATTTTCCTTTGATATCAGCAC